CAATATGTTGTGATTCAGAGATGAGGTTGGGGTTGGCTTCCTTTTTCCTGAATGTATTTTATTAAAATAAAGTCGAAAGGGTTGGGGGCTTAGAGGGAGGAAAGCGTTTTGCTTGTGGGGCCGCTATCTTTGTGTCGGGTTCTCTGCTGGTACTTTTTCTAAAGGAGTTAATGGGAAGCGATCGTTACCCATTAGGTTACACATATACACCAATAAGAGTCAAAGAAACGAAGATATATGGATATATCATAATCCATGCATGTTTGTGAAGCGGCGTCGAGCAGCATGTTGCCAGCAGAGGTCCAGCACAGCATTTTTCCTCTATATAGATAAGTTCAACGGTAATTAACGCCCATACCGGACTGTTGGTGGTTGGCGCATTTGATTGGGCCGGAGAATTATTCACTTCTAACCTGTCTTGGTTAGGCTAACTAACTGCCGAGTGTCAAGCCATCAAAGAACTATATAAAACATGCAACAGTCCAACATGCAATATACGAGGGGCCCTTTTGCGTACAGACATTACCATGATGATGATTCTTGTTTACACCAGGTGGATCTGTGCTTCACTTAGGGTGTTGATCATGAATCCATTTGCAGTACCCGGGAAAATATTAACGGGTCCACCACAACTTATCCTTGCAAACGGTCTTCTCGTCCATCCCCCCCCCCCCCCCCCCCCCCCAAAAAGGACCCAAGGGAACCCCAACCCGCAGGTTTTATTCGTTACCAAAGTAATCGCAAGCAAAAAGAAGCAAAACATTCCAAGAATTCCTTTGTTGACTGGAATTAAAGGATTGAGTTTTGCGGGAACCTAGGGGCCTCCTCCTCCTTCTCATGACATCATGACCTGCTCAAAACGGACTTCTCTTTGCTATAATTGTTTCTTAACGACCTCCCTATCTATCTATGTTTTGGGTTTTGGACTGTTTTACCCTTCAATTATCGAGCAAGCGTATCGCTTAAGGAAAAGAAACGCCACCATGACCCAACCCCTTCAAAACTGACACTTAGCTCATCGAAGGCACAACCGGCTTCAACAGCCTACATCTTCGTCGTGAAGTTACAATTCCAGCATTAGGCGACCATGACTGCCTTGTCCAGATCCAAGCAGTGTCCCTCAATTACCGGGACCTCATCATCCCAAAGGAATTTCCCACCTCCTCCATTCCTCCTACAAACAAACAAAACCCCCTTTATATAGAGCAACCTTGTATATCCACTCTACGGAGCCCGCATGGTAATATACTACATACAAAAGCAGGGTCTCTACCCATACCCCATGACCCTCCCACGAGTGCCGTTTTCTGATAGCGCAGGCATTGTCCTCTCCACAGGGCCTCGCGTCGTCCACTTCCGCCGCGGCGACCGCGTCTGCACGCTCTTCAACCAAACGCACCAGTCAAACCCCATCACGCGTGACTCCATGAGCTCTGGCCTGCGCGGCACCCTCGACGGCACCCTGTGCAAGTACGCTGTGCTGCCCGAGCCAGGCCTCGTCATGGCGCCCAGCAACCTCAGCCCCATCGCCGCCAGTACGCTTAGCTGCGCGCACCTGACGGCCTGGAATGCGCTGTATGGCCTGACGCCGCTGAAGCCGGGAGATGTGGTGCTGACGCAGGGAACGGGTGAGGTGAGTCTTGCGGCCATCCAGTTTGCGGTGGCGGCTGGCGCGATGGTGGTGGCCACGACATCGTCGGAGGAGAAGGCGCTGCGGCTGAAAAAGATGGGCGTTCAGCACGTGATTAATTATAAGACGACGCCGGAATGGGGGCAGGTTGCGCGGTCGTACACGCGCGGTGGGCGTGGGGTGGATCATGTTATTGAGGTTGGCGGCCCGGGCACGATGGCGGAGTCGCTAAAGGCTGTGCGGAAGGAAGGGATTATTACTGTTATTGGGTTTCTGGGTGGTACAGGAGAAAAGGGTCGAGAAGGAACCGAGTATTTTGGATCCGTTGGTGCATATTTGTACTGTCGGGGGATCTTTGATTGGATCGCGGCAGCAGATGGAGGATATGGGTGCGCCGCGATTCAGACAAACAATATCC